CTCCCCTTCCTCATCATCGGTCAACCACCTCTCCTGCCATTCAGTCAACTGGGGTCCGCAAACGCCCGACATGGGCAGTTGGCAGGCTGCAGGACCAGTCACAGCCAAGTTGTGCCACAGCTCCCCTGAGGAACCCGCCTCCTGCGCCATCCCTGAGGCCAACCGCGCGTCAAATGCCGGCACATCTAGTCTGGTCTCACGCACCTTGTGGCATACCGTTGGCTGAGCGCTGTCCTCCACAGCTTCTGGTGTTGCCACATCTGCCACAACTCTACCATTTCTCCCGCATCCACCACCGGCTCAGTGTCCTCAGCCATCTCCCCTGTACCTGCACAGTCCACAATCAGGAACCACCAGTGAAAACGGGTGGGGACAGGAAAAGAGGAGCACTGACTTTCTGTCAAAGGTCCCAACCCCAGACCTGAGCCCAACAGAAACACAGTCAGTCTGGGACCAAGGAAAACTTGGTTTATTCAGGCTGGGAAAGTAAAGGCACACTTTGGCTTACGAAATGTTAACCAGCAATTGCAAAATAAAGTCAGCGCTGGGAGCTACTCTCTTTTGTTATCTGTTTTCACATGACCCATTTCTTCAAGTCCTTCTATCCACATGACTGGTTCAATTAATTATAATAGTGCTGGGTCAGTTTTCCAATAACACTGATCAATATTTTTCTACAACAATGGTAGGTAGCACAGCAATTTCAGAGAAAAAGCATCAGAAAAAGATAGGACACCTTTTATAGTGTATTTCTTACTCATCTAATTAAAAAAAATGCCAATATTAATTAGGATGCTATGGCTTCATCAAAGAAATCATTGAAGAAACATAGTAGCCAGTCAACAAAATCAGTGCTTGAGGCTGGCATAATGATCTTATTTAGAAATCATGACAAACTAACTCCAGATGAAAGAGAGTATACACTAAATAGTTTGTGTACTTGCAAAACTAGTTGATATGAGCAAAAGTATTAATTATAGGACACTGAATGCTAACATAATTTGAAGTAAGATAGCATCTGGAATAATTAAATGAAGCCCACATATGAACATCACTGAAATCAAATTGACTATACGCAAACAAAAATTCAGTCAACAAAAAACTGCTCAGTTCATGAACTCCTTATAAAATTACACCTTAAAACTAAAAAAATAAAAAATCAGACCATAAGATATAATCTCATGAATATTCTCTATAGTTATTTGATCATGTTAGGAAAAAAGATAAAATATTGCTAACAAAAAAACTATGGGAGATGATGAAATGCCAGAACTATTTCAAAGTGTTACTTGTGCTACTTATAACATTTTCTAGCATTATATGAGGTGTTCGTCATGATCTGGATTGAATCACTCATATTTTTTCAAGGGAAATTGTTCTCAAATAGTGCTAATGTTGTACCATAGATGGTTTGTCAGAAATACTGTATGGGCATTTTGTGGGACTTAAAAGAGATACATATTGAATAACACAATAAAAATTATGGTAAAAATTATGGGAAAGAAATATTAAATTAACTAAAGCAGTACCATATAAAGAAAACCTATACAAAATGTTTTACAGATGGCACATGACACCAGTGAGACTAGCGAAAATGTTTAAAAATACTTCAAACAATTGTTGGAAATGCAAACAAAGGTCAGGTACTTATTACCACATCTGGTGGACATGCCCTAAAGCAAAAAGGTATTGGGCTAAAATACATTTATGGTTGGAGAAGATGACTAAAAAACAAATAGACTTTAAACCAGAACTGTTTTTGTTAGGAATAATAGGAGCCAAGTATGAGAAAGATTACAGATATCTAATACTACATGTATTAACAGCAGCAAGAATTGTATTTGCCCAATATTTGGAAAAATGAAAACTTACCAACTGAAGAAGTACTAACTAAGAAAATTTTAGAGTACGCAGAAATGGATAGATTGACTTTGGAGATTAAAGAGAAAGAAGACTCAGTATACTTTAGAAGAGTGATGGCAAACCTTTTAGAGACCGAGTGCCCAAACTGCAACCCAAAACCCACTTATGTATCGCCGGGTGCCGGGTGGGTGTGGCCCACTCGGCGGGTGCAGCTAGAGTGGGCTTGGCAGACTGGGTGGGCGTGGCCACTGGATGCGTGTGGCTACAGTAGTCATGGCAGATTGGGTGGGCATGGCCGGGGTGGGCGTGGCCACCTTGATGTTGCTTATAGGGAGGAACACCTGTGGGAGCCGGGCAGGGTTGGGGGAGATCCAGGGGGTCTCTGGCGGGTGGGCTTCCCAATGGCGGCTCCAGGCGGGCTGGCCTTAGGCCAGTGATGGAGAACTTTTAAAGACCACGTGTGCTGGGGCAATGGCGCATGCCCACAGAGAGGGCTCCATGTGCTGCCTCTGGCATGCGTGCCATAGCTTCGCCACCACTGCTTTAGAACATGGGATAACTTTTATCAATGGCTAGAAAAACAAGTCAGTGAGAAAGGAATGTGACATGTAATTTTGAATATATATTAGTAAGAAGAAGGCTACTGAGTGATTAATACTGTTTATGATAATTAACTACATCTATTATTCTTAGTTAAATACATGTACCCAGATAATATGCTGTTTGCTAAATATTGAAAATGTTACCTGGGAAAACCCCAACCCCAACCCTAACCCTAACCCATACCCCAATCCTAATCCCGACCCCATTTTATCCCTAACCCTCTGCTTTATATGTTTAATACTGAGATTCAGTGAAATGCAGTAATGCTCCCCATTTTTTTTATTTGTTCTTTCTTGGTGCTTAATTCCCTAGAATGAAATTTCTGAAAAACAGCAGAAGCTCTTTTCCCTCAAGGACAAGGAAGCTGCTCTGATGCTACAAGAATCCAAGCATTAGGGAGAGAGAGAGAGAGAGCAGGTGGTTTCTTCATTTGACTTACTTTTGAAGGCTGATGGAAACTTTGTTAAGAAAAAAGCAGATATGCTAGTTTTAGCTTACCAAATAGACAAATAAATTACACAAAAAGAAGGGAAGATTTGTAATTTGTAGGCAAGCGGTCAGAAAGCCAGGGCAGAAACTAAAAAAAGGGCCCGGGTGATGTATTTATTTATTTATTTATTTATTTTCACTCACTTCTATGCCGCCCTTCTCCCCACGGGACTCAGGGCGGCTCACAGCATATTAAAAAACAACACAAAAAACATTTCCCCTATAAAACCAATTAAAAACCAAATATATTTATGGCTGTGTCATTATTAAAATCTTTAAAAAATTATTCCCTATTTAAAATTCACCCTAG